AGCCTTTAGGTGTACTGTGGTTCAGCTAGTAAGACTGGCTACAGGATCCTAGTTCTCCCACTCATCTGTAAGTGAAGAGACAGCGGATGATCATCTTTTTCTGAAAATCAGGACTCTACACTGCTTTGGGTTGAGCTATCGAAATGTGTTACTTTTGAAAATGTTAGTCCCCCAAAAATGGCCTGCTCTCAGTGTTCAATGAGAGGTGGTCTCTTCTGAGCAGGGCCAGACCCAACCAATGTGCGAACTGGGCAGCCACCCAGGACTTGGACAGAAAGGGACCCTGAAAATGGTGAAGATAATTATTATTATTAACATTATCTTCGGCAAAGGGGGCACTGATACTAAAATTTTGCCTGGGGCTGCCAGGAATCTAGGTAAGGTGCTGCCTCTGAGACATTTCTCAACAACAAACATTGTGAAATGCATGTCCCTGACTCCCCACAGAACCTGAGAACCCATGCTGCAGGGAAGCCATTTAGTCTACAGTGATCTCTATGGCATAGTGCTCTTTCATTTATGGTAAACGTGAGTTGGCAGCTGTTTCACGGCAAAGGGTATGTGGAATCACAGCATCACAGTTCCACACCTCTGGGGGTCCCTCTGAGTTGTGTAGTACATTGTTGTGCCATTTCATTGATTCTTCTCCCAATTGTCAGTGAAAGTAGGCTTTCAGCCTGTGAGCAGGAGCAAAGGGAAGTAGAAGTGTAAGCAAGAATGAGAGTATGTAAAACCTAGACGAGGAGGGCAGTGAACTTGGACTGGGATGGCCAAGGACCACAATGCAATTCCAAGAGGACTTTGGTGTGTTCATATGGTATGTGCCTGAGAAAAGTAAAAATGTTGCAGAGATAGACAAGGAAGTAATGTGGGGAGTGGATGGTTGAGTGTATGCAGTGCAGTTTCAAAATAATCAGGTGTTAATTCAATGTAGGGCTCTTTCATTTTTCTTGATGAGAGTTCAGTGTCAGATGAGGAATTTCATCTGACACAGAGCTCCACAGAGAATTCCTGAAGGAGGTAAGCAGCTCTGAAAATGCAATAGCTTCTGAGCACTGTTCATTTCAACCCTTAAAGAGGCTGCTTAGTATTCTGAGAAATTATTCTAATCTCATTGGCATTAATGCCAGAAAGACAGCAAGCTGACTCTTCCTGATTCGGCAGCAAGAACACAGCAACCATGTTCATATGTATAGAATATAAATGTGGATTAATTTAAAAGTATGTATCTCTACATTTTCTATTTTTAGCTGTCCTTGATTCTGTAAGCCATGCATTATTTCTGATGAAGTGATGTTATCTACCCCTTCCTGTGGTACGGCCCTACCGTAGAACTGCAGAACTGCCTAGGGTGCTGAGTCCAGCTGCAACAGCTATATTGAAACAAAGTTGTGACCCCGAGATTTCCTAGCTGGCATTGCACAAGATGGTTACTTGGAAGTTCTCAGTTACAACATTAAAATACTAGGGAACCTTAATGCAATAGGGTCACATTTTATATTAGGGCTATATTTATAAGCAATTTACAAACCACTAATAGACATGATAAGCATGTTACAAACAATGAGTAATATTTTCTATGGAAATTTATAAGAGGATGGTTATCAGCCATGTTCTAAAGTCCAACCTGTTGATTTTCAAACATGGTAACAACTGACTTACCATTTATTGAAAAACTAGTAACTTTTTTATCCCCTGTAACACATTTTAAATGTACCCATAATACAGAACAGCACCACAAAGTGTGTATTGTAATGTGGAGCTGGAATTCAAAATCTGTCTTAAAACATATAGGCTTCAGTTAGTGCAATGTATTAGCATTTTGATAGGAGAAACTTCATGTGTCAAAAACATATATGACAGAAACAAGAAACTGTTTTTAAAATTGGGTTGTTAGAACATAGGATTGCTCTCTCTAAATTTAAGACTGTGAATGGGGAAAGAGTTACAATTTGTTTTAGATTATCTTAATGGAAGCCCAATTTCCATTCAAAGGACTTTCACCCAGGGAAAAAGAGAGATGCCTATTGTAGTAATGACACATGAGATACTCGTTTTGGCTTTAACAGGGACAGGTATATCAGCAACCTTTAGCCTGAGTGCAGAATAAGCTAATGAATATTTGCATGCATATGGAGACACATCTCTAAGTTCCAAGAATAGTTTGAAAATAACCTACAAGGGACTAGATGTGGAAGATACCTAGTTAATGCACCATCTCAAAAAGGAAGATAAATTCAATATTCAGGCAGAAAAAAGTAATCAATTATGTTTGTCCAAGAAAAAAGCTAAATGATCCATCTCCCAAGATATGTGATCCTTGCAAAGACAGTGCAAAGATCCAGCAAAAGGAAGTGCAAAGACTGTGACCTTTACATGCATAATATCTCAAATGTTCATTGTCAGCCTGGTAATACATATTAACAGATTTATTTATGAATTTATTTATTTAATTTACAGACATGTATGGTTATCCTGAGAGGAGTCTTCCTGACAAGAAGCTGACTGTAGTTGTGACAGCACAAGAATGATGCACTGGTAGTTACTTTTCTGGGATAACACCAATATAGATAACAGAGATGCAGTGTGTTTGTACTGCTTCAGTTTAAGTTTTGCCCCAGGTCTCTACATGTCTTTACCACACTGCTACAACAACAGTTTCCTCTAATGATGGAGCCCTCTCAACCCTGCTCTAGGTTTGTCGTGTCGTCCCCTTCTCCCAGGCTCGTTGCTGAGGTAAGTTCCTTTTTCCTGTCACTCTCTTGGAGCTCTGTGACAGGGCAAGCTTGCTGGAAAGATCTGCCAGAGCCCCAAATCAAACAAGCAATGCACGTGGTTATTTTTACACAGGTCATATTCTGCATTATTCCCATCACTGGTGATGCTTGCTCCATGCAAAGTTGAAAACGATGTTCACCGTATCAAGTGAATGGACAGATGCCACTTGGAGGTTGGAAAGTCTACAGTGGGCACTCTTACTGTGAAGATTTGCATGGTAAAAAATATAGTGTTTTTTAGGGTTGTCCATCAAGGATTTGAGGGCTGTAAACATCTAGGATTGTTGGAGATACTGGTCCAATGTGCACACTCATTCTGTTTCTCCATGCCACTGAACAAATGAGTGTCAAGTGCCCAGTTATGTGCAATAGCCAGACAAAATATTTGACACTGAAGTCAGGGCTATCCAACTTCTAAGTGGCTGGGGCCTGCATGTGAACAAGCCACACCAGTGGGGGTCCTGCTAGTGTGAGTCTTATTCCATACACCTACACACGCACCATGCACATGAGAAGTCCCCCTCCTCCAGTGCTGCACCATGCCACAGGCTTCCCCAATGCCATGGGCTGAATCGCCCCACCCGCTGGAGTGGGAGCAAAAAGTTAAAACCATTGTGGGGGAAGATGAGACTACAAACCATGGGTGTAGTAGCAGCCAGAGTGGCTAGGTAAGGGCCCTGGGGAGCATGCATTAACTCCTTGCAGGCTGCATGTGGTTTTTGGGCTGCCAGTTGGATCATCCTGCTAAAACAATGGGAAGGAAAGTCTTTTAGCATTACTACAGTTATTATTAATACCTTAAAATTATGCAATTCTAAATTAAAACTTGATCAAGATCACCACCAAAATTAAAATATATTTCTCTTGTGCATCTTATCTAGTCTGGTAGTTGCTAATGCAGGTTACAGTTAAACTGAGAAATGCAACCTCTTGCTATAGCCGGGTCAGGCATACCCAAAAGAGATGCAGTTGCAATGTTATCTGATTCCAAAAAACAAAATAATGTTCAACTAACAAAATGTCTGCTGTGTTCATAAGGCTTATGGTAAGTATCATGCTTAGAGTGCTGTTTGTAATAAGCAATATCTGTTCCTGAATGAAGGTGGAACCCCTTTGAGCAAATACACTTATGCATCCAACCTTGCAATTCACTTTCTAGTAATTTACATATCACTGATACTCAATTTTTTGATGCTAGGAGAGAGCAAAAAACAAACAAAAGGAGAGAAAGGATATAAACAAGGGAAAATCAAACTTGTTTAAAAATCTGACTATATTTTTGTTGAAAACTTTTTGCATTAGTCACTCATTTCTTGAGTGCTCCATAAACTACTTTCATGTCAGGTTCAATGGGTCCAGTGTATTCATATTTTTCTGGGAGAGTTTCAAGACAACATCAAGGATTTTTAGAGGTGTCTATTGTTAATGGATGTTGTATGTATAACTCTTTCACACTGCCATAAAAACATATTTCTTGGATAGAAAATAGCATCTTTTCTATTTGGAAATTGCATTTGATCTTTGAAGTAGCTGGAACAGTTACAAGGCAAAGGTTACTTTTTCCTCCGAATCGCAGCATAATAGCATTATAGTAAGTTTCTATAGCAACAAGATGTGTGGCCCTGTGCATAAGCAGGGCCACCCATGGAAAGTTTTAGACATTTACAATTTTAACGACTTCTTACTTCTGAAATTAATTTTGTTACCCCAGAAGGCAAATATACATGTTAGCTTGAAGCTTGAAGTAACAACTTTATTGTAACATATATTTCACTTTCATAAAACAATCTGTGTATGAAATTACATGATGATTTTGAATAGAAAAACAAAAGACAAAAATTAAGCTCTAAGGAATCACTAAAGCAAAAATATGTAGTAGGTGTTTATTATTTGTGTTACAGTAGTCGCCAAACCACATTCTGATGTAGCTGATATATTTTACTCCATCATACCTGAGACTTTATACATGCATGGTAGAAAGCAGTTACTAACACAAAGAACATGTTTATACACATGCTCTGGGAGGGTGCTTTAATTAGTGCAGCTCCAAGATCCACTCTAATTAAAGTGCCCAGAGCATCTCATGTATCAGTGTTCCTGTGCTGAAAAATGGCTGTGAGAGCACTTAACCAAAGTTTGTCAAACAAGCTTTAGTTAAAGTGCCCTCACCACCATTTTTCAGTGCGGGGACACTAATGCATGAGACGCTGGAGTCTGCTGGAGCACAGTAATTACCACACACCAGCAGACTTGATTAATTGAGCCTGCTCTGACATGCTGTAATTACAGCACATTGGAGCTGCCTTGCTGCTCCTGTGTAGGTGCCTTCCCAGTCTAAAAAACATGAGTGCAAGTTGAAAACAAGAGTCTTTTTTATAAAAGTACATGCAATGTGATCTGAGATGTATATGGCAATGACCATAACAAGATAAGTTATTACAAATGCACAATAGAATTAGGAGGAAATAAGAACAGGCCCTACCAGTGAATACTGCTTACTGTCTATGTGCACCACGGATCATATTGAGCAGGATATGTTATACTCCTCAAGCAGTTAGATGAATTCCTCCCAGTAACTTCAGTGGGCTTTGGGTCCTGCTCTTAGATTGTAATTTACAAATACCATTATTTGCCCCCTCACTTTCTCAAACCACTTATAAAAATATCCATTAAATAAGAAAATATAGGAAAACAAGAACATATTTATAAGATAATATTTTGTAAAAATGTATCTATATCCACTAAATAGCCCCAAAAGAATGTATTGTCTATGACAGTTACTGAAGATTGTTTTAGCTCAAGTTGTAAAATCCTGTGTTTTTAAAGTCATGGTTTTGAGTCCCCAAGCAGCAAGTATGATGCCTGTATGTGACCACAGAATGCTATTACTTCAGTGTAAATGCTTAACCTTTCCCTATTGTCTTTAAGTGTTCAGATCAGTTCAGAGAACAAACATAGGTCCTTGTTAGACCTTATGCTCTAAGCCAAACAAGTATTAATAAGCTTAGTGTTGTTCAGCTTAGTGGAGCAGTCACACAGTAAGGTGAAAAACCTTCTCTGACTGTCCTGCACCTGCACAGCTGTGACTTGCAACTAGAGGCTTGGTGAGCAGGGGCAGGACTAGAAGCAGGACCTGCTCAGTTCTCCCACCAGGCAGGGAGCAGGCCCACCACTGTGTCAGTTGCAGGGAGACCAGAGAGACCTGGGGAAGCAGCTTCTCTGGGGCTCTCTGGTCTCACTGAAACTGACACCGTGGCTCTGTACTAAAAGCAGAGCTGTTGGGCTTAAGCCCTGGCAGCCCTGTTCTCAGTGCAGAGCTGCTGCAGCTCTACAGTACTACACTGATTCCCCAGGGCTCTCTGGTCTCACTGAGCTGCTTTCCTGGGGCTCTCTGGTCTCTGAGAGCAAGGCTGTCAAGGCCTGGTGGTTCCACTCTCAGTGCGGAGCTGCTGTGTCAGTTTCTGTGAGACAAGAGAGACATGAGGAAACTGCTTCCCTGGGGCTCTCTGAAACTGACATAGCGGCTGCACACTGCAAGAGGCCTGGGAGGGCTTAAGCCTGGTGGCCCCACTCTCAATGCAGAGCCACGGTCAGGTTCAGCAAGACCAGAGTTTTGAGGCATTGTCCGTTTCAGCTGCAGCCCTGAAGCTCGCTCACTCTAGGGACCTGATCCATTTTTCTCCAGAGCTCAGACAGCACTTACCACCCCGCATCCCACTGGCTGGGCTGCTGGCTGGCTGGGCAACACCTGAGCTCCAAGGGGCCCAATCCTTTTTTCTTCAGAGTTCAGGCAGCGCCTACCCTCTGAGCTCAGGTGGAAGCAGAGCTGGAGCTCAGATGAGAGCAGAGCCAGTTTGGGTGGTGGCAGGAGACGGCCACTGGGTGCTCTGAGGCTGTGGCATTCACTCTGCCTGACATACCTGGGAGCAAGGCACTGTGTCCGCCCCACCGTGCCCCAGCATCCTGCTTGCCCTGAGTCAGGCAGACCATTGCATTCTGGGATACTGGATGACTTCAACTTGGGCGGAACAGCTGTCAGAAGTGGCCACATGGTAATACAGCAGGAACAAAATTAGGTGAATTGGAGCTATTCCTGCCCTGGAGTAGTGTAACTTTAAGCCACAAAATGAGTGCTTTAAGCCACCTAAAAGCTGTTAGCATGTAGCCAGTCCAGAGATTAAGAGCTCCAGAAGCTGACTAAATTTACCGTGTAACAAGGCCCATACACTGGGAGCAGAAAATACCTTGGGATTGAATCATAGAGAAAGGGAACTGGAAAGATGGGACAGAAAGATAACAATGAGGTGAATATATATGGGCTAGAGAGTGCAGTTAATCATAGCTGTGACCTGCAGAGAAAGCCAGATATGCCTGGGAAAGGTGGGCAGAAAGATGGGGTTTACTTTGGTATCTATGGTAGAATGTATGATTCTAAGCAGGGTAGAGAAGTTAGGGGCACATAGAAAGGGTTGGTGAATAGAAGTAGTAGAGAAACAGAATACCTTGAAGTCTGAATAAGTATTGAAAAGTTTTCTCATTGTTATCTTTAATATCTGTGATTCACTCAGGGAGTAGGCACCATCATTTTGTTAGATGTTAGCAAAGTGCCCAACCAGATGAAAACCTGATCCATGATGAGGGCTCCTCATAGATGCTACCCCAATGCAAATTAGTAATAGTACTTATAAAAAGGTTTAATTGAAGTGGCAGGTGAAGAATACTTGACTTGTAGAGTGGACAAGTGATATAATATAAAACCTAGCATTCAGGCCATCTTAACACCAGCCGTTTCTGCATTGATGTTGCTATATTGGGAAATATGCAAACTAGGGGTGCTCATTTCAGTGGATAGTTTTCCACTGGCCACTCGTAACAAGCAGTTAATGACCATATCTTTGGCCTTGGTGGTTTCCATATTCCTTTCTCGTGATATCTGCTGGGTAATTTGATCTACGTTGGTCATGATGAGCTCCGAGGCTAGGATCTGATTGAGAGAGACACAGTTGACCATGCTGTCCATGATATACTGTTTGTACAGTTCCATGACCTTCTGCTCTAAATAGTCATTCAGCATTGAATTGGAGAGGGGCTGCTGATGTTGCATGATGCTGGCCACTCGCCAGCATGATGAATATCCTTGGACTGGCTTGCGACTAAGGTCATTGGTTGGCATCATCATGGATTCTATGGGTGGGGGAATCTCTGATGACTCCAAGAATGGGCCTATCCCACTGTCACAGGTAAAATCCTTTGTTACTGAACTGATAGGCATTACGTGGCCCCCAGCAATATGCAAATCATTGTAATTTTTGCAAATGCTTTGACAAGAAGAAGGGACAAGATAAGTGTCTATGATGGATCCTCCACATATGTCCTCAACTGGAGAAGTTTGCCTGTCGAATGAATTCTGGGTGGCTTGCCTTACAGAATCTGTCTGTCTTCTGTTGCATTTGCTTCCTTTTGAGCAGCCTGAGGAAATTAACTTGCCAACAGACCACCTCTGAAAGAGGCTTTTGCTCTGTGTCTCATCCACGGAGGCATATGTAAAGCCGCACAGGGAGCTCATTTCATGTACTGTTTCCTCTGGGGCTTGCTTGCTGTAGAGCTTAGAACTCATGAGGTCTTCACAAAGGTAGGGGATTCCACAAAGATAACCTTCTGACAGCATTCTTAGAAAGAGAAGAAAAGAGGCATGGAAGACTAAATGAAGTTGTCATGATCAGCATCATCAGCATCCAGAATAAACTGAATAGACATTTGGAACAGAAAACACCAAAGAAAGACAGATAGTTAATCTGACCCTTAAGAAAACATTGATTAATTTCCATCTGCAGGAGTGGATCCAGGGAGGGTTGCAGCAATGTGGATATACCCCCCTTCTGCTGCTGCCACTGCTGCCCCCAACTGATCCAGACATCGGGGGAGACCCAGCACCACCTCTGCTTTGTTCCAGCTACCAGGCCCAACAAGTCGCAATGTGGAGGTTTCTCCTTCCAGCGCCTGCTTACCCTTCCCCCACAGGTGTTCTCCATTGTCCAGGAGCAGGCATTGGAATAAGGAACCTGGGTGCTACTATTGCTGTCCTAAGCTGACACAGGCATGGAGGGATGCCCTGGAGCCACTTCTGCTGCACGCTACAGGGAATGGCAGGGAGCTAAGCTCAGCTGGGAACAGCAGCAGCAGTGTGGGGAGTGGCTTCAACCTGGGACAGGAGCAGCTTTGTCAGCAGCAGGTGGGTCCCCCCTCCTCTGCTTCATGTGGGTACTCTTTGCCCAGGGCTCCAGCCACACCTCCCCGCTTGACCATTGCCTGAGGGGTAGTGTGCTGCAGCCCCTTAAGTAAATCCTGGATCCACCCATGTCCACTGACAAATATGTTTTTGGTTGCATGTAGATGCAAAGATTAGCTTCAGATCATGATGTTGCTATTACTATACATATTTACCTCTCAAACAAACTGAGTAAATAAAATGTGCTGCCAGACTCCTAGCTGTTTTCTTAAGCAGTGCTAAACACAATATCCTTCACCAGGGGAGGCAAGAGAGGAGGAAGAGATATGGTTTTATTCTGTATAGGTATTTGATGCAGTACTGTGTTTTTAAAATCTTTGTGCATGTTGAAAAAAGTGGATTTCAATATGCATCCAAAAAGGGTGATTTTCTTCCTCTGCAGCTTTTTCCAGGCACATTCAAGCTACACATGTGGTTTATTTCAAAACTTGAAAGCCCAGGTGTCAAGTGCCACTGTCTAAAGACTGCAAACCTCAAATTCATGTTGTCAGTGTAAGTTCTTGCTTCTTCAGGATGAAGAACCGTAATTGTTGGAATTTCTTTGAAATTTGAAAATCACAACCCTGATTGGGGTTGTACAAGTGTCAGCACTTATACTGAAGGTCTGGATTGTGGAAGTGGTCAGTACCCACAGCTCCTGTGTATTTCTCTTGGAACCATGGATGTCAGCAGCTCTGAAGTGGGAGCTTTGTTATGTGAAATTAGATGCCTGGAAATGAAGGCACTCACACAGTTGGCTACTTTTGACAATATAGGCCATACAATATAGATACTGAAAACTAGACATATGGTAAATATTGAAACCAGGCACTTGACACCAGTGAAGGAGCCCAGAACTGCAGAACTGGAAGATGGATGCAATAGTTAAGGATCAGCAAATGCTCAGCATTCCTGAATTCTGACAATCCCTTTTTGGTATAATTACCATATTCTTAGTATATATTAGTTTTTATAACATAGAGGCAGGAAAACAATCTATGGCAGGAGTTGGCAACCTACAGCCTGCAGGCTGAGCCCAGTCTGCAGAGCTTTTGGATCTAGTTCACAGATGTGGAACTTTGGTGGCATTCAGTGACGGGGGTCACCTTCTGTCAGTGCTCTCACTACAGTGCCACAAGAAATGCTTTTCCCATGAGGCTGGGGAGACCAGCAGCTGTGGCAGAAGGGTCTTAGCTCCTCCTACCCATTAGTCCACTTCTGACCTGGGATGGGTAATGAAGGCCTTCAGCTGGGAAAGTTTGCCTTCCCCTGCTCTGTTGTCTGACACAAGTCCCACATGGTCCAGCAAAGAGGAAGTAGAATTTAGGAATCGGATTTCATGTGTCTAGATCACATCTATAGTGTAAGAATACTAGCCAATAGATGAAGAATGACATAGTCTTATTTTAATAGCAAATAATAGTCTTCATTTAATTTTTAATCCAGCTACATAATGTAATTAAAATGGATATTGTCTATCTGGATATGAACATCTTTTACGGATACATTTCAATTTACCTGTCTGTTCCAGAACACCAGATGTCAGAACACATTAGTAACTGGAAAATGTCTATACAAAATGTAGAGCAAAGTAATATCACTGTGTAGCACATGACATACCACACATACCAGCTTTGTAGCTGTAGTTTGTCCTTGGTGAGTATTAAAGGACTTTCACTTCTTCTAAGAGACATTCATGTGTTCCACCCTCTACTGCAAAAATGTTCCAAGAAATACTAGGCCAAGTCATGGTTCTGCCCTAATCTGACTAGGTAGCCTTACTTATGAATTGCAAGAGAGAGATGAAATATTAACAGATGAGATGAAGCCTCTTCAGAACAAAGATCTTCTTCATTATGAATCAGGGGGACGGGAGAAAACAATTCTCCCCCAGTTCTCCTCAGAAAGTAATGTGCGTAAATGTGTACTTAACATATATCTGCTGTATATGGGAACAGAAGTAGACATGATAGCCCCAAACTGCAGCAGAGAAAATTGAAGTTGGAAATTAAAAAGAACTTTCTTACTACAAGGGTGGTCAAACATTGGAACAAGCTACCCAGAGAAAAGTTCCATTCCTGGAAATTTTCAGGAGCAGGTTCCACAGACACTTGGCTGGAAAGGTTTTGTTAGGGTTTGATCCTCTCTTGAGAAGGGGGCCCGACTAGATGACCTTGTGAAGTCTCTTCCAACCCTGCTTGCCTATGATTCTGGTTTGTCTCCCTGCAGAAGCTCAATGGGATGTACCACAGCCCTGATCCTAGTTAGCAAAACACAAAGAAGCTTGGACTGAAGCTAATGCATAGTCCTAGAGGGCAGAGGTCTTTCTCCCATAAGGACAGCTTGCCTGTCCCCATAGTAGTTTTTGGCCTCACTTCCCTGGAACAAATGCAAAAAAATCACAACTGTGCTTGACTGCCCTTTGTACCAGTACTACTGGTTTACTTTATTTGTTGGTCACACTGGAGAGCCATGAAACTCTTTTGGCAGAATGTAATAAATTCTGCTGCTCTTATCCTATAAGAAGCTGCCAGAATGTCTCTCTCCTACACTCTTAATAGGAAAGGGGGGGATTTAGCAGTAATTTAGGTCAGGATGAACATGGAATTATTACGATACTGATTCCCGTATTTATTTTTCATGTAGATTTTAAGAAACAAGAAATATATAACACATGATCCACCCAGATTCTATTTACTATGCAAGTTCAGCTCTGTTTATGTAATGTGTGACACTCTCTACTGTTTTTCCTACTGCCAGATGTACCATGCTTTTATCATAAGGTGGTATATTAGGGAACTGAAACTCTTAGTTTCATTTCTTTGGGCCACATTTTACAGTATTTATTTTCAGACTCTATCATACCCTCCATAAATAGGGAGGGAAATAAACCCACTTGAGCCATGAAACTCAACAATTTCAGACTTAAACTAGTTGGAAAAGTCTAGTTAAATAAGGTCTGTAACAGGTCCATTAAGTACTTACTCTCAAAAGAGGAACTCAGCACTTTGGATCCTAAGTGGACATAGGCACCTAACACATCCCCTAGTCAGGCACTAGAGCCATCAAATGCCAGAGACAGCTGGGTGTTTAAACCCCTGGTCACAGTTTTTCCTATTAACTAGCTCCAGGATCTCTAAATCAGCCTCTGTAGTACTCTAGCTCCCCGCTTGATTACATATGGAGCCAAGGTGCCTAGACCTGTTTCTTTGAATCACTTTCATGAAGTCAAGCAGCAGATTTTTAGGTTTTTTAATTTTGCTCCTATTTATAGACACAGAAGTCTGGGGCATTTACTTAAAGCCCAGTGCCTTCTGTTCCCTATCATACCAATCCCTTCGCAGCCAGCTTCCATATCCTCACTACTGACAGTTGGCTACCCAGAGAGGATTTGCACTCACAAAGGATCAGTAGTAATTCCTACAGGTATTTCTCATTTGGTAAGTGGAAGAGTGGTGATTCCCAGTTCCACAGTCTGCAAATCCAGCTCTTTTCTCTCCTATACCTTACACAGATCACAGAGTCCCAAATACATGCCCATAGTGGGCATGTCTACATGTTCATTAAGGCATCTTGGATACTGCACATTTCGTTTAGTACTTGCTTAATCAAGTACTAACTAAATGCACAGTAACTAGAGTTACTGCACAGTAGCTCTGGTGCATGGTTATTTTGTGATTTTACTGTGCATTAGCCTAATAACACTGCGCTGTAGGCATTAGCACAGTATTTAAATGCCATGCTAGTGAGCAGTGTTATTAGGCTAATGTGCAGTAAGCGTCGCATGTAGATGCACCCAGTCACTCCCAGACAGCTGGAAACTTTCGTGTAAAGGTAAAGCCCTTTTGCTCTCTCTGTTCTCTGTGGCATGGGAGGCAGAGGGAGCAGCTGCTGTAGCTTATAGTCTTTACTCTCAGTCATTTTGTTTCAGAAAAGGATTCAGGATGTTTCTTCTGAACTTTTTTCTTGTGTGCTTGTGATTGATTGCATTCTTTAGGAACAGTAGCATAGATTGCACTGGGGCCGAATAAGAAGAGCATTGCCCAGTACAAGCTCTTTATTACTTTTATCTTATCTTTATTTAAAAACAGCTTATGTCTTAACCTAAATAGTTTTAAAACTGTGCTACATGATATTTGGAGTTCATTTTCATATGCATCATCTCTACCAGGTACTTCTAGCTGGCTTCCAAAAATAATGGATGCAAGCCATCTCTTCTCCTTACACAGAGAGGTGAAAATCCTGGGGAGGTGAAAATCCTCTCTGGCACTTCCCACCAGCACTCAATGAAGCTCTTCCATGAGACTGAGGATCTGTGCACAGAGCTAAGTCTTACCTTGTGGAGAATTTGTACAAAGGTTATACCGACAGGTACTCTTATTACTGAGTCTTTAAGCACCATGAAACCCTCACTTCATCTTCCAAACTTGAGGTGCTGTGGCTAACGTGTCATCTCTGATGCACTGCAGCTCCAGTGTGGCCTTATTAAAGGTAACCACTGAGGCTTTGTGGACCCTGGAAAGAGGATGGAGGCATACAATTTCTCTGCAGATAGACTTGTCTAATGCAGATTCCCCAAGATCCACATCTTTGGAGACTGAACTGCATGCCTCTCTGCAGGGCCGGATTAAACCTTCAGTGGGCCCTAGGCAAACAAACTCGTGGACCCTTACTTAATACTGTATATTTATATTACCTTATTTCACTCAGTAATTACAATATGTAAAATAAGCACAACTGGGCCCCTTCTCCACTTGGGACCCTAGGGATGTACCTAGTTTGCCCATGTGTTAATCCGACCCTGCCTCTCTGGTGTTTTGAGCAGTTCCACTGCCCCAGCGTATATTATACAGATTCTCTATGAGGAACTTCTGCAAGTTTCCAGTCTCCTATATTGTTCTCTTTCCAATTTGATCTACATTTTGGGTGAAAAGTTCTAAACAAGTTGACAGGATTACCTGGGCCATCCATTCGAGTGTGCATTTTGCAAGACCTGGAAAGATTCTCAAGGAATCTGCAGTTAAATATTTACAAGGATTTACCTCACCTAACTCTTTGGAGTTCATTATCTCCTCTAATTTGCTGATGTGACCTTGGTCTCTGGACTGGGCGCTGTCCCCAGATGATTATTAAATGCAAAGTATGTAAAAGTCATAGGAGACAGGGGTTAAAACTCAGAAGCCCTCCCTTTTCAGGGCCATTCAGATCTCACTAAGCCATATTCCTTCCGGCTTGTTCATTTCCTCCTGGCCCCATATAGCTTCACTTCCTGGCTGCCCCAAGGACAAGATTCAAGAGGAAGCCTGGAAAGTACGTGCCATGGTGGTTAGAGCACTTTGCCGGTAAGTGGGAGATACTGGTTCAAAAGCCCTCTGGGTGAGTTGGGCCTAGAAACCAGATGTCCCACTCCCTGTGTAAATACCCTAGCTTCTTCTAGGGTAGAAGGGCTACCCTACTCCATATTATATGGAGTAAGTACATGCATAAAGGACAGATTTCCTCCCTAATATCTTCCCATATGCATATAGTATTGTCTATTTTGCACAGGAAAACACATGCAGGTTTTATAGGTACAATGAAGGCAGGCAGTTTTAGGAATGTAACCTTATAAATAAAGCTCCTTCATCTCTCCTTATGTCTATTATCATCCAATTCTGGTGCAACTTTTATAGTTTCTTATGTTTCCTAAACTCTGGAAACCTGAATTGTACTCACTTGCCCTGTTTGGTCATTGCCAGGCACTTTGTTTGGTGATTCACACTAGTGCAAAATATTTATAACACTGCCATTTTGATCCAGTATCCTACTAGTCTGTCATACCTGTGCATACATGTAACTGACTACACAAAAAGTTAAAGCAATGAAGTTTCAGACCCTGTAGTTCTAAATGTGACCAGAATAGAATGGTCTAGTCTCTTTTTTGTACAGTGTCTATAGGGTAATTAACATCTCTGCTGATTGAATCTTACCCTTATGAATTTGGCTGCGTAGGTTTTAGTGAACTATCGCAATGTAGATATATTTTTATTATTTTTCATTTAAAGCAAGAGAAGGGAGAATGGAATTCTATGTTCTGTCATTGAATGTTATATTTTATAGGAGTTGGGGGAATGAATAGGAAAGAAGGAAGAAAGTACTAAACACTGATATGTAAAGCAATGACTGTTCTACTGGGAGTGAGAGAGGAGAGTGAATGAACCTGACAATTAAGTAAAATGGAAGGGTCATGTCTATATTTACTTCTTATAGGATATGCAGGTGTGTACCAGCTTTATGAATGTAACCTCTGAATTTGAGCTGATCCTGGCAAATGCAAGGATTAAGATTCTATTTATTTGTAAGCAAAATGTGGTGGGGGAGAGGGGAGGGCAGTTACTTAGATATGGTACATTTCTATTTTTGGAGGAAAAAAACCCAGCAAACCTGCAAATACAGTACTCTAGCTCTAATATTATAACACATATGCACAATTCAATGAGAAAAAAATATGACTACCATAAAAGTAGCACATTCACTTGAAAAGTATTCCCTAATGTAAATAATGATTTTATCACTTGAATTAAGGTAGTTCCAGGGGCCCTAGTGATCGGCTAGGACCTCAGAATCACAGATGAACTATGTCTATGCGTATCTTGAAGCCTTGTTATAAATCAAGCACAATGGATCTTTGCTTTTACAGAGGTTAAACTGCAATGGTATTTGGAAGGTTTTGCAGGTAGCAATTCAGAAAGTAAAATCCTTGCAAACACACAGTGCCTTCACCAAAGGTTATGTGGATTTTATGAGCATAAGTTCTGAGCAGACAACAAGCCAAGCCAAGTGGATGCACAAAAAAGACAGTTGTACTTTGCATAGCATATACCAGTTCTTACCTCAAAGAGCTGCAGCAACTCACCACGTAGAAAAAATAGTACTGTTCTTTCTGTCAATTTAAAAGTTTCTCCAAGCCCATGTAATTTAGTACAGCAATTCACTTCCAGGTGACTCTTTTTACACTGCAAAGATGGCATGTGCTTTGTTTCTTACCCTCCATACCATAAAGAAATAGCAGGGAAGTCCCTGGAAGCACGGTGTGCTTTATAACTGACTTACTAGAACCACACCATGTTAGACACTCTTCCTCTTTTTTTAGGCTGAAATGAAACTTTGTTGTGAAACTGAATGTTGTTAAAGTACCTTGTTGCAGCACACTACACATACCCCCCTCAGCCCATGCTGTCAGGCTTTTGTTCCATTAAAGACTGTAAAGAGAAATGTTAATTAAATGAAAAAAATACAATAATATGAGGGAATATGGTCATCTAAATTAATGTCTTACCCCAATTTCACTCAATGTATGTAATTTTCCATTTAAACAGACATAATAAGTCATGAATAGGAATTAATTTCTTAGCAGGCTTATTTGGCTTTATTTCAATGTAATCCTTGTTACTTTCTACCAAATAGTATAGCACAGGATTCTACTAGTTCATCTAATTTGGCCTTACAAGACTTGGTAGAAACTAGCTGGAAAGGAATTATAAGATTGCCAAACTAAAAAAAAAAAACAACTGCAAGCCATTTTCTCTCTTTCCTTTACTCTTTTAACTAAATCCTATCTTGCTACTTTTCTTTAAGGATGTCCTCAGATTTTTTTAATAAAGCATAAATCCTTAACTGCTAACCATCCAAGATATATGCACTACTTGCAGTATGATTTAGCTATGAAAATCATTTACAACCATTAGAATCAATCAAAAAGACAGATAGCCATGCTATCTTTTTGTCCTAGGGGGAGGACAACCTTTCTTATCCTTTCAAAAGATGATGCAAATAACAGCTTCTTAAACCCTCTTTCAGATACACTTCTGAATCTGGCGCAGAAAATCTTACTGTTCACCTTGGCTTACTATAAACGATAGACTTTGGCATTTAGTATGTAACCAGTACACAGAAAAATAAGACAGTACCATTGAATTATTTTTATGAGGCACTGGTAGCTATTTGTAACTTGTCCAAATGTTGTAACAAAGAGGTCCAATGCTGTGACAATAGTGACAGCTGCTGAATAAGGATTGAAGTCTTCATTATAGTGTATTATATGCACATCCTTTACGTTTTTATTTATTAATTAAACCCTTCCTTATACTGTCTCAGAAGCCAGTTTCTCCTTTTCTTTTCTTTTTACTTCGTTCAGATTTGAGTAACACTAATATATAAAGGCCTATTTATCTCAGTATTGAAAATTCAGTTCTGACATTCTGGCATTGGACCTTTCCCCTGCTCTTCCCTAACTCATCACAGTTGGATTAAATAATATTACATCTGCTCAGGTGCTATACCAGTTCCAACAGGGCTCAAAACCTATTAGTAGGGTAAGATTGGCAACCTGCATTGAATTTCAAGAGGCATCTTTACCTCCGGAAGTCCCTCCTGTGGGAGCTAATTCACAATGGCAACAGATACCTGTTGGCACTTTGTGCATTTATGTAGGTTGTTCCTGCTGTCTCACCAATACTAGATATTTAGTAGGCCAAATTCAAGCCTGCTGTAATTAAACCTGCTGGAGTCAATAACAGTATTTCTGACCTGCATGGGGTGAACTTGGCTCTGTATATGGAACAGGGCATCTCTGTTTGCATACCAAGAGGTCAAACTGAGTGATATTGTGAAATTTCGTTTCAGATAAATGAGAGGTTATAGATGCATGCTGTCAATTATCTTTTCTTGGATAACTACCTGAGAGGGGAGAAGATACTAACATTTCCTTGCACAAATTATAACAAATTCTCTACTTCTCAATTTTATGTTCCCTTGCTTTACCTGTGCTAGGTTAAGGTGCTCTTGGGGTTTGGGGGCAATATGCCTTGTAGTTGTGTGACAAGATTGCTTGTATAGTTATAGAAATAGGTTAAGTGAGCACTTGCATGGAATAGTTTAGTCAGGAATGATCCTTCCTTGAGCAGGGGGTTGGCCTGGATGACCTCATGAGTTCCATTCCAGCCTTTTTCCCCCCTTTGTTTCTACATCATTCATTTCACATGTTTCATTTTTGAGATCCTTTCTCACAGTCTCCATACCTGTTGAACTGCTGGGTATCACTTTCTTTTCAATAGTTCTACAAAGCTCCCTTTAGTTGATAGCTGTAACAGGGCCCCACACCCTCCCCATTACTAGAGTGGGAAGGGGAGCCAAGGGTGCCTGGCCCTTTTGCCCTTCTGCAGCCCCCCTCTCTCCACCTTTTCCTTTCTTACCTTTTGTGTCTCTGCCAGTGCCCCCTTTCCCTGGTTGAGGTCCCTTCCCCCTGGTTTCCTTGTTCCATGGTTCTGATTTTACTCTTGCTGCTTCCTTCCACTTCATCCCTGTATGTCTTCTGCCTGTTCCCCATTGGTGACTCCAGAGGTAAACTCACAGGCAGGGGAGTTGAGGTGACTTAAGAGTCCAGTCCTTGAGCTACATATCCATCCACAGAAGTTGCAAGTCTTTCCTTGGGGGAAGAGTAGTCTGTAGGCTGGACTTTCTCTCCCTTTCCTTCCACTGCTCCCTCTTCTCTGCTTTGAGGGCAAGATGCTTTACCTTGAAATGGGCAGCCATTTGGTTAAGGTTGCACTTCCATTGGAGTCAGTTGGTTGCCAGCTCCTCCAAGCTCTTGATGTCCACATCTGTTTTCTTGAGGTATGCCTTCAGTATGTCCTTGTAGCATTTCCTCTGGCCACTGAAAGATCTCTAGCCATAACTAAGCTGGGAGCAGAGCATTTGTTTGGGGAGTTGAGAGTCAGGCATCTGCACACAATGTCTGCTCCAGTGAAGCTGGTACTTGAGGATCACCAATTCAATGTTGGTAACATTGGCTTCAGCAAAGATGCTGGCATCATTCATGTTGCCTCTCTAGGCTTTTGAGATAATGATGGTAGGTCACTCATTTTTCACATCCATAGATGAGGGTAGGGATCATGACTACATTATAGACCTAGATCTTGTGTCTTTCTGAAAATTGTGATTAATAAAGACACGCTGAAACAATTTTCCAAAGGAGGCCTTGCACAGCAGACCCTGTGCTGGATCTCTTCATCAGAGTTCACTATCTGAGGTGGCTACCAAGGTAGGGGAAATGCTCAACTACCTCCAAAATATCAAGACATTCTTGTTCATCCTAATGCAGTGATAAGAGAAAAAACAATTTTAGTACTATAATTTTTTTGTAGAGGAGACTGAACATTAGGCCTGTGCGAATAGGGAAGTATTTGATTTGGATTCAGGTTTGGCTGATTCAGAGGACAGTGATTCAATTTGGTGATTTGGATCACTGTCCTAAATCAATTCAGCTGAATCAGCTTCAGAAGATTTGACACTGATTCAGAGAGATTTGGTGATTCAGATCAGCCGGGGAGAGACAGGCACAGCCGGGTGGCTGCAAGTTCTCCCACGACTCCTCTGGCTGTGCCTGCCTTTCCCTGGGCAGGGGGAGCCATGGGAGAAGCCCCCATGGCTGCCCTTCCTGGCCCAATCCCCTCCCTGGCCCAGCCTCCCAACACTTAAAAAAAAAAAAAAAAAGCCCTGCACTCACTGGATGTACCAGGGGCTGTTGGGGCTCTGTGGCCTCCTGGCAGAGCCCCCCTACACAGCCCCCACTCCCCAATCACCCCACCACCCAGCCCTGCCCAGCCCCAGCAGTCCAGGAATAAAAAAACCCCAAACAAACAAACAAAAAAAACCACACTCACCAACAGTAGCAAGGGGTGTAGGGGCTCTGGGGCCACATTGCAGAGCCCCCCCACACACAGCCCCCACTTCCCGATTTCCCCCCACCACCCAGCCCCACTCCTGATGGCTGCTCCACCTGGCCCCAACATGCTGGCAATTAAAAAAAAAAAAAAAAAGCCTTGCCCTCACCAGCTCTGGCAGCAGCTATTGGGGCCTCTGGGCACTCATAGTAGAGCCCCCCATGCAGCATGGGGAAGTGGGGTTCACCCCCCCACCTGGCACCCGTGCAGCATCTGACACATCGTGTGGGTGCAGCATGGCTTGGCAGGGGTCTACGCCCTGTCTGGGAACTGGGGCCACTGGGGCTGAGCGGTACCTGGCTCCAGCTGACACGTGGACCCACTGCAGCTCCCAGACAGCATGCAGTGCCCTACTGAGCCACGTTGCACCTGCACCATTGGGCAGCTGCTGCACATGTGCCAAGCGGGGGTGGGGGCGATCCCTGCTGCTCCCACTGCACTGCCCTGCGTGGGGGGGATCTGCTATGAGCCCCCAGAAGCCTCTATCACCACTTCCAAAGCTGCTGAGTGCGGGGCTTTTTTTCATTTTTTTTTAAAGTGCCGGGAGGCTGGCGCTGGGTGGGGGATGTAGTCAGGCAGGGCAGCCATGGGGCCTTCTCCTGTGGCTCCTCCGGCTGTGCCTGCTTCTGCCCCAGTGGAGGGAGCCATGGGATCTATGCCCTGCTGCCACTTGCCCCCTTCTGCCTGAAGCGAGTCATGCCCGCATCCTGCCCCTCCCCGCCACCCTGGCTGGGCAAGCAGCAGCAGGGCAGAGCCCCTGCTCCCAGCACTTCCGCACCCACATCCCAGACACCCCGTCCCCTTCCCCAAATAATGCGTTCCCCCGACCCGACTGGGCAGCTTGTCCCAGCTCCAATCCCTCCCTCCCTCCCCCATGCTACTTCCCTCCCCCAACCC